ATGAAATGCAATAATTATCTGCCAAGCGATAAACCATATGGCAGCATTTGTTTGAGAAGACCTTGTAAATACACATGAGCATGAAAGCAGAGTAATTATTTGGTGTGGGAACAATATCTTCGAGTTTCACCAGATGCAGTGAAAAAAAACCACTTTTTGCTCTTCCTGTTGCATAAATGAAATGTTATTGACCTTTATGTGTTCTTTAACATTTTTAATTAAAATGTAAAATGTATTATATATCTCATTCAAATTTCATTAAATTTTGATCCTAAAAGTAAGGATTTTCTTCAAGATACACCAAAACCAAATTCGGACAAAAATCATAACAGTTTCAATTATATAAGAAACTCCTTCAAAAGTTCTCTTCTAATTCTCAATGACAGTCTAAGAAAAATCTCAAAATATTAAGAAATTTCCTGTATGATTTATGAACATCTATACAGAGAGTCATCTTAGACTGAAGTTTGTAAATTTTTTATTTGTCTTTCAGGACAAGAATACTTCTAATAAACTTTCCTTAAAACTCAAAAGTAATGAATAAGATCACAGTCCTTAAAAAAATCCTTCGAAGTGCATAATCTTTTGATCAACAAAATATATTCCTCTATATTTAAGAGAAACTTGCAGAAGATAGTGAATAAACTTTCTTGAGAAGGAATATATAATTCTTAACAGTGAAATAAGATGCTAAATTTACAGTGAATGTTGTTTATGTTGATACATCATTCACAGTGAAGCTATAAAAACCCCTGCACTAATGATACCCTCCTACAGTTGGTGCTTGCAAGGGTTGTGGTCTAAGAACTTTTTCTAAGGATCTAAGGATCTGATAGTGAATGCAAAGGTTTTATATCGCTGACATTTCTCCTGCAGGACATTTCTAAACTCCAAGAAAGATACTACAAAAATAATACTGTTATTAGCACTTCATAACAATTACAAAAACTAGTTTCCAACACAGGCTAAAGAAGACTGAATTCAGATTCCAAGAAAGGGGTATATATGTTATAAGATGTCTCGTGTTATCTAAGTACACTTGGGAGTGATTTACTTAATGTAACATGCAGGGGTTTTAAAATTATGCAAAAACTCAAACTGCAATTCTATAAATATCTATAGTTGCAACAATTCATATCCTAGTGTTTTAGTGTGCGCTTAATGTATTACAAGTAATGTTCAAAACTTTCTATGGGACATTTTTGTATGTAGCTATAAATTGAGTAACAGAGTAAAGTACAGATCCTTCCAAAACAATGTAAAAGCCAGATTCAAATTTTTAAAGAAAGTAATTTTTTATGTCAGTTAAAAAAAAATAAATCTAAAAGTAGCTGAGATACCTTCCTCCTGCAAAAAGAACTCAGATAACTCTAAATAACAATACTGATTTTTTCAAAAGTTTTCATGTTATTTTTGTAACAGATTTTTCAAAGGATAACTTCCAAAGATTTAAAGCAATTAAGAAGGGGGGATAGGGTGAATATACATAATCTAGTTTTGCTGCTACTGGGATTCTCAAATGAGATTGTCTCTCCTTCTAGCCCTAAATACACAATGTAGTGATTAGTCACACTGTAATCATTAAGGGTAGAAAAGGGGGAAATACTGTACCCAGAATACAGATAAGGGGAGGAACCAGTGGTCCACCCCATCCAAGCTGAAGAAAGGTTATCCTATATGAAATAGAAATATATAGCCTGTTATTAGTTGTAAATCTGTAATGACAGACACTTGATATTATGTTTTATAACTCAATCATATGAGAAATGTTTCTTTCCTACTAATGAAGTTTGGAGTACTCTTGAAAATGCCTCATTATTGCTTTCCTGGGAATCTAAGGAATAGCCATTGAATTTTAGAGGATATTTAAGACATCAAATACTCTAATTTAGTTTTACAAGTTGAAATTGGACTGGAAATTTGAAATACAGTAAATGTTTAAAGCCATCAGCCAGAAATATGCATAAGGCATGCAAAACTGAAAGTGCAAGTGGACTTCAGATTGTTTGCTGTCTTCTACTATTTCTCTAGTAAATAAATCAAGCACGGCATGACATGCTTTATTTTGTGAAATTAGACACAAATGCATGCTTTATTGTCACTTAATTCTCAAACTCAGCAAAGCAATGTATACTCAGTATTCTACATTTACAAGTAGCATACCAATTCAGAACTAGCGCAAAAGCATTATATTGCAAGTACTAAAAAGCTAAACAAAAAGCAATGGGTATATTCATATCTCACTTTGCAGATACTTCTGCTCAGTACGTACACTAATTGAGATGAGAATATAAACCCTAAGACAGAAATTTAAATTAAATTAAAGCAATTCTTTACTTTGCCTTCCAGCATCTGGGTGGAGTTGGTTTTGAGAATCACTATAGAAAGTATTAAAATTTCTGAGAATTCAGTACACTAACAGATATTTTAAGTGCCTTCAATATAGCAAAATTCATCTCTGTGCTCAAGGCAAGCACAGGCTATGGACCGCCTGTACCCTATTTTGGTACAAGTGATTCATATATCTTATATTCACTTTGGAAAGAGAATTTACCCCATTTAAGAAACAGCATAATTACAAAATTAAGTTCTAACTACAGAGTATAACTGTACACGTACAAGAATATATCTTAAAAAGTGAACTATGTTTCATATTTAGGGATAACAGAATAGTTATCAGTATTTACTGAGGATATAAAATGCTGTATTCTTCCAATTCACCAGAACGGTAAACTTAGATAAAGATTGGTTTAAAGTAGCTGAGAACTTAGCAGATTGTTTTACAAAATGATGCAGAGCTTTTTACATTCAGGGACTTTTGTGGTATACATATGACCTCTCATATTTTCAAGGCAAAATTTGCAAGGATTTGAACACATTTGAACATTAAAATTGTAAATACATGCTGAATAAAAGCTCAGCTTGTTTTTTCACAGCTCAGTGTAGGTATAAGCAATATAAGCAAGCAAAGAGGGTTGATTTATTTTTACTTTCTGTTGGCAGATAGAAGAATCTGATTTTATGGATTTTTTAAGAAATGAACTCAGTTTCTGAGAAGACTGTATTTTGACTATAGTCTTATCATGAGCTGGTCAATTATTTGTTATTTGAAGGTTTTTTACTGTTCGTGAGTCATTCATAACCTAATGCTACTATCTGTCAATGAGCTGTTGTGAATACTTGCCAAGTGCTTTGGAATAACGATTTTCAGAAGTGCATGAAACTAATAGTAAAGATAAGGCCTATACAGTTGGCCAGTCAAATTTGCTAAGTGACTGGAATCAGGTACTTCATTGATGATCATTAATATTGGAGGACAGAGCTGAAACCTTTTTTGCTTTTCCAGGCTTGTCTGTGATTCCTACACAGTAAGTTGCTCATGAATTATTCATGTTGTGTATCTGAAATTCTATCATATGATTGGGCTTCTGGCATAGTTTCATAGTTATTCAGTGAGAAATAAGGGAAAGCAGTAAATAGATTTCAAATAACAGGTACTTTTCTTTGAGCATGAATATCCTAAACCTTTTACTGAGGCAATCATGTAAGGATACAGAAAAATGGAATACAACATTTGGCAATCAATTTTGACATTATCTTTCTAGAAATCATCTGGTTTTTTTCCAACATCATCTAAAGAGCTGCATTTCTTGTCCCTGTGTAACTTCTATACTGGTCTCCCAGTCCTCCTGCAGCTGACCAGAACATTATGAAAAAAGTAAAGCCAACAGCAATTTCCCAACATTTCTCTGCACAAAACCACATTTATCTGAATGTTCATGAACAGTAAGTACAAAGAAAGACAAAGAGAAAATGTCTAAATCAAATAGTCATTCCAAACTTAAGTGAAAATTCATACATTCTGTAGTACTTGACCAGCTCTTACCCTGCTGAATATCAATTCATGAATTTCAAATGATGAGAAAACTGTTAAAAGTCAATTTGCTATATGAAACTGAAATTTATTAATCTAGTAATCATTGGTTAGCAGTATTTTTTCTGATGCATTCTGAAGTAGAGATATGTAGCCTGATGAATACAATTTAAGGCACAGAATTCTAAGCCTCAGTTTGACTTGATTAACCTTAGATTTGTACCTAAAGGTTGTTCGGACAGTATATTCCAGGCTATTCCACTGGTTTATAATTGACTTGAAATTCATTAGTGCATTGTTTCCTCTTATGTTTCCATGAAGTAGCAAAAAGCATTCTCTTAAAACATATTTCAATGACATGCATATAGAGTTAGTTTGTATTCAGTGGCTTTAAGGAACAGAAGGTATAAACAAATGAAAAAATAAGTTAAAATGCTTTCTTGAGTGAGATGAATAGTAAGCAGGGCCTCTAAGTTACTCAGAATAAGTAAGAAATAACCTTATATACATTGTATTGAATATTGAATAGAGATTTGTTGAAATAAGAAAAGCATTCACCTTACAAAAAGAATAATTTCATAGAGAAACCAAATAACTTGGTTTTAGTCAGCCAAACTCAGAAATAGATTTAAACCACTAGTGGATATGAATATATCTCTAGTACCATCTAGGAAAATTCAGTGGGGTTAAACCAAAGGTGGTTTATCAAATATGAAGAAAAAGGAAGGATTTCAACTGGTAACAGAAAATATTAACTAATGCTAAATTAAATTCCTGTATAAATATTGTGATAAGTTCATCAGTAAAAAATTAATAAAAACTTGTTACATTTTATTAATTATAAAGACACTGTTAAGAGAGTTCATAGCTGGTAATTTCAAAGCCTTATATGGAAAACTCCTGAGATTGGCTAGAAAGTAAAGTAACCTTAATGAATGTAACTTCTATGTGATACTGCATATGGATTTAGGTGAATTGATGAAGCTTTTTGCTTATCTGTTAGTAAAAGATATGCAATAGATAAAAAGATAGTGCAGCCTTTCTGCATGGACTTGTCATTCCTTATTCTGCATGCATGGATTCTTTCTATGCATGCATAGTTTCAGATTCTTTCATTTTGTCTTACCCTCATGCCTTCAAATCGTGACAAAGCTCTTAGAGGTCTCAAAGCTCTTAGAGTCCTAAGGGACTTAATGGCACCCAGTTCAGAGTAACCCAATGCATTTGCTGTTAAGCTAACCAAAGAGACCTATATGAAAACAGGAAAGTGAAAATTATTATATTGTACATACTATTTTACATACCATAGATGTGAGATATAAACTTCTTTAGAAGAATCTAATTTTGGACCACTTTCTTCAGGAATGGGAAGTCTTTAAAATAAAATTAAAAAAAAAAAAAGAAAGAAGAAGTAATATGAAAGATTAGGATAAGTAAATAAACAAACAAAAATCATAAGGTAACAATATCTGGAAACATTAATACTTCTGAATTTCATATTTAGCTAGTGATTTGAGGGCATTTAAAACCACAAAAAACAAATGAAATTAATCTCCCCTTTTTACCAGTTTAGGTATTGCCCTCACTTTTGCTTTGTTTTACATTGCTTTTGGGATCAGTAATTATAGTTGATAATGCTCATTTGATTGCCCACAACTGAAAGGGAAATGATTGAAGCCTGTTTTGAATTAACAGATGGGTCACAGAGCAACATTACTCCTCTGGAAATTGGTAGAAACGATTATTTTTTCTATATTCAGTTACACTGACTAATCTGGCTGGTAAATTTATGTGCTCTACAGGCTGACATTAACCTGGATTATGCTATTTCTTAAAGACTTTGTAAGAACAGTTCCATAAGTGGCAGAACTCCACTTTACCTCAGTGAGAGATACCATGTTCTCTACATTTGCTATGGCTCCTGTCCAAAATAATACCTTCTGGTTTCTTTCCATTTCTGCTAAATGTTCATTTATTACGCTGTTCTAATTTCTTAACTATTTATTGGGCCAAAAAAAGCATAATGGTCTCAGGTACTCTTTCGTTATAAAGAACAACACATCAGGTAAAGAGAACTCTAGGACAGTGTTCTTTATGACCCGTATTTAAAAACAAGCATTATATGTGAAATCCTTAGCTTTTAAAAGTTAATAGCTTTTTTTTTTTAATAGCTTTTTTTTTAAATAGCTTTAAAAGTTAATAGCTTTTCTGTACTTGTCAATCCTGAGCTCTAGCAACCCACAAAACTAGGGTCTTCTGAAATATGAATTTCTTTCTACAGCACATTCATCATAGTACTGAAAACTTTCAAGCTTTCAAGCTGCCATAATCTAAAGCCAAATTAAAGAAAATATCTGGGTGTGTAAATCCAGGATTTAATAATGAGTTTATTCAGACACTTGAATATGTGTTAAACCTTCACACAAAGAAGTATTCAAATTTTCACATTCACAAGATGGCTGTTTGGGATATTATGATTTAAATAAGGTCAAGTATAAGTGAAAATTAGTTTAGAAAAGGAACAGGTGCTTCTGCTTGCATGCTTCTTCAAGCTTTTTTATTATGGGTGCCACTTAGGTACCCATTTTGAGAAGAATTTAGATACTAAAAAACAAAAGTGTTTTCCAAAGAGAGGGGACATTCTTTGTATGAGTACTATGTTTGAATGTGGTTATCTGTAGCTCTATATGTGAAGTTGAATCCTAGATATAGTTAATCCATAATGTGCACCAATCAAAAAGGTGGTAGGCACCAGTCACAAAACAAAGCTAAGGAAAATGAACTGCTTTGATTAGCCCTTTTATGGTGGGAACACACTGCGGCATTTTTAGCAGTTCTTTGGGTCAATAATTGCTTATGAGGTTCACCTTTTGCCTATTCAGTTTATGTTTCTAAACATGAAATGACTAATTTCATAAGTCATTGAAATCAGGAAAAAATGCATCTTAATTTTAAAATTGACCTTGTTTAATATTTGTTTTTCCTATAAGTTTTACCAGTAATTTCTATCTTAAAAACGTAGCGACTGGTGGTGGTTTCATAACTATGTAAACCATGGTATTATAGTTTCACACACAGAACTCCATAGACTGCAGAAACAGTATGCGTTTCTCCACATTGGACGTTTTCTCAAAGGTGTATACTTAGGTATACTTCTTAAATTCTCCATAACTGTATCAATGCATCAAGAAATGGTTTCCTCCACAGTTGGTATACATAGATATGGTTGTAGAGCAAGTAATTAAAAAAAATAATCAGATAAAATAAATATAAAAGTAACACCTAGGAAATATACTACATACATCGACAATCAGGAAGTCCAGCCAGCACCAGGCATTAGTAAAGTATGTTTGATAACCATAGGCCACCCACTTCAGCAGCATTTCCAAAATGAAGATGTAAGTGAAGACCTTGTCAGCATATTCCAGCATGGTCTTGATAGTTTTACGCTGTTCAATATATATGTCTTCAAAAGCCTGTTAGTAAAAACATTCAAAGATATTTGTTATTCCCTTTTGTTTCTGCACATGCTTCAGGTTGTGATTAAAAAAAAAAGCAACCAAAAAAGCAAACATCTTTCTTCAAGAAAAGGCATGGGAGTGTTACTTTCTTCTAATGTTTCCTTTTCTGCTAACTCACTATATACCTGTTTTTCCCTTATGGAACTATATTTTCCATCTCACAGGAGGGAAAAGCAGATATTACACAGCAACCACTCCACTAGTCAGAAATATTTATTTATTTATTTATTGTGATGGTGAATTATACTTGTCAGATCATTTTCAGTACTCACACATAGCATTGATTCTGCAGAGTGGTGTGCCTGAATTGAATTCTAGTAAGATCATTTGGTTTGTATGTAGGTAGATCCATTTTCAAAATCCATGGCCATAGCTGTAAAGTTTTCAGGACAGTGACAATACAATCGACCTTTTGTTTTTAAGTTCTGTTGATTTTTGAAAATTTTAACTAATAAAGTAAAACAAGTTCTTCCTTTCTTAAAGAATGTTTATCTAAATCAAATACCTACTTTACTGTATTATTCCGATTTTGAGATACATAACATTTCTGAGATCCTTGCAACATTATTTACACTTTCTGTGTGTTTTCACTTTTAGACATCTAAAAAACCATATAGCTTCAGAAATTCTTCCTGTTCCCCAGGAAATTTTAACTTTAGTTGCTTTTAAATTCTAATTAAGGTATTATTTCTTATGGAGAACAATTGATCTTGTTGGACTGAAAGAACTGGAATGATCTGCTAGCTTGCAAAGATTTGGATATTTATTGACATTAATATTCATTTTTACCCAGCCTGCTTTTGAGTGACTTTACATCTGTCAGTTCAAATGGTTAGTGTTTGTCTGTCAATCATCCAGTTAACATCTGTGTGCCAGTAATTTTTCATACTTAGATCAGGCACTATGGTACCCGACACTCATGTGTAATCACTAACAACTTTATATCTCACTAATCTGGGAAGAGCAAACACGTATGATTTCCTTCTTATAGGTGAGAGTATGCCAGAGGCTAAGCTAGCAGTGCAGCTAGAAGCACCCTGCAGCGTGCCTGTGCCTGCCAGATTTCCTGGCTGTAATGACAGTGAGACTCATCTGGAGTGTGGCCTTGGGGTGAACATCGGGATACAGTACTGGCAGGTCCAAAGAGACCTTTTTACTAGCACAGAGGAAGTTGAAGGCAGAGTAGGGTCTCACATCGCCAGAGGCTTGGGCTAATCCCTAGTCTCCGAAGCATTTCCACAAAATAAATGTTCTGTGGATAACAGACACCTTAGGTTCACAAGTGTGAGATGCTAACACCGTGGTATCTCATCTCAAACTTCCTCTAAATACAATGATGGAAATTCCCCTTTATCAGATGTCTTGCCAGTATTTTTATCTCATTTAAATTCTTGTCAGTAAAGGTTTTCTCCACTTCGTAGCATGAACCAAAACTCAGTACTGTAGGTGTGAGTCTTTTGTTATTTTGTGGGTTTTAAATCACAGGGAAGGTGTCACATGCTGTTTAAAAAAAGTTGCTTGTTTGATAGTTGTGTTGATATTAGACCAAACAAAAGCAGAATGATTCTTAAATGATTCTTAAAATGATTCTTAAAAGCAGAATGATTCTTAAAGATTTAACTGAAACTAATGATAGGTATAATCATAAACTGCTGACCATTAATGGTATTTAAGTGGTATTTAATGGTATTTAGTGGTATTTAAGTGGTATTTAATGGTATTTAAGTGTTGGGAGTGGTCTAAAGACTTTATAATACAATTTTACAATGCAATTTTGGTTTATGATGTAGGAACTTAAGTAATTTACCAAAGGGTAATTGCAACTACCAGGGTAGATGCTAGATCTACTCTACGTTATTGCAGGGCAAGTAGTTTGCCTAAGAAACTTCAGCTCAGTATGTATCCAGGCTCACCTTTATTTAACAGTTTCTTTATTCTTTGTTGTTATTTGTATTTGTGAAATAACATATTATTGGTATGTTTTGTTTCTTTTATTGTTATAGATTTATATTATGGTTGGCTTCTTTTTATTCTGCCCTCACATACTTGTTAAACTTCAAGCAAATTCATGTTTTTACAGATATCCTTTTAGTCTACATGAGTCAGTAGAAGCTGAATTAGAAGCATAAATAACAAATTCTTATTCTTAGAAGGGAATAATTACAAACACACAGTCTTAATCTTTCTTGCTGTTCTAGCACATCATAACATTTATAAGACTCTGTAAGCCAACTCTGGCTCTTGCAAGGTATTATGAGCTGTTTATGCCATTACAGTTACTTCCAAACTCCTTTTTTTTTTTCAGCAGTGACAGTTCTTTTCCTTAAGTTATATCAGTGAACACCAGCAAAACTAGAGAGCAAACTCAAACAAAAAAGCTAAATATGTTTTCTTCTTCATGTGTTGTCCCTCTTCCGGGTTCAGGCACATCACTATCACTTTTGGCAAAGGACTTAAGCTCTCTCTAAGCTATCCTGTCTGTTCTTTTTTCCACAGATTGTTGAGAAGAGATTTTTTTCTATGATTCTTTCAAAGGCCTGACTAAAATTTAGTCCTGTCATTTGAATTGTGTGTTCCTTCTGGTGGAGAAAACTAAGTTAAAACAATGTTTGAAGAGCCAACTTTTAAGAAGTTTTCTGACAACATTGTGACACTCTGTTCATGTTTTACTTACCAGAGCTCCACTACTGAGGAGAATCATAAAGACAATGAAAGTCTCAAACCAGTTGTGTTCGACAATCTTGAAGCAGGTTTTTCTAAGGTTCCACCACTGCTTTCCTCTCCCTTCTTCTATACTTACTTGACAGCACTTGAACCTTCGTACACAGCCTTTAAAACAGTGTATGTATTGAGGGGTGGGGGGGTCGGGGGGAAAGAGATGTTGAATTGTATTAATTTGGGTTATGTATGCTGTTAATGATACAATGCTACATCTCCAGAAGAGTGGTATGAAAACAGTGTGTTATTTTATTATCTAGGAGACTGTAAGTAAACTCAGAAAGTACAGTAGTTTGTACTAACATAAAACTTTCAGTAATAAATTTTTCTTATTTTAAAAATACTGATAAATTTCTGATAAAATGTTTTCTTGTTTATCTGATACATAGTATAATTGTGGTATCAGTATCCATACGGTAAATTATGGTCTATCATTAATAATCATAGTTTAAACATTAACAAAAGAGTAATTCAATACATAAATATTAATACTTAGTTTAAATAGATAATTATTCCATATTTCATGAATAAGAATTATTAGTATTTTTGTTCCAAACACCTTCTGTGAAGCAGGCCTCTGGCTCCTGGGCTTCTTCAGGTTCAGCTTCTGGTTGCTCTTCTGCAGGAAGTCCAATATCAACTGTGCTACCTTCGGATGAACTAGACATATTTAATTTCTGTAAAGGAAAATAAAAGCATCACAAATGCACAGTAAATCTTTTTAAGGCATATATAAGTTGTTTTCAGAATAAGTAAATAATTCTGCCATGTTTTTCAATGTTCTTGTATTCAACATAAGTAAATTGCTGATAAACATATGTGAAATTTGTACAATCTTTGTTTTTCCTTCTGCATTGTATGAATCCATTAACTAGAATGTGTGTCAGTGAGAGATAAGGCTTTAAACAAAATTATGCTTTAAACTGAAAAATATGAGTGATGATGCTAAGCCTGCAAAGATTTATGACCACAGCTAGCCATAAGTGGCGATGATCTCTTGACCTACATACAAATAATGAAGCTTAAATATATATGCAGGAATCTGTAGTATCTACTGAAAAGCAGGGAAGAGCCTAAATATAACTATATAAATGAGGTGGGAGCTCAGAGGAATGAGGGAAAAAAGCAATGATCAGCAGAGAAGGCTATACTTTAGAGGTCAGCAGGTCCAGATTAAAATTGCTGAAAGTCTAGCTCAGAGTGAAGCAGAAGCTGCATACAATAAGGCTGAGGTAGAATAAAGATGGCCCATAAAACATTAGATTGTGTTTTATAACCTAATCAAATTTTCAATAACATGATGAGCATAAAGAGAGAGGCGTGGAAGGTGGAAACGAAATTTTTAAGAAAACCAACAATGCACTTAAGCTAATCCTATCCTAAAAATTCTCAAAGCTTTGTAACATGCATCTGGGACCTGGCTGCAATCTAGCTGGTTGGTATCATGGCTAAAGATTGGGTAAAAATTGTGAAGGAAACATATTTAAGGATGTAGAGGTAAACAAAATAATGGAATAAATGCAATATAGGTTCATTAATGATAGGTGGCAGCAGGCTTTTTGATAGTGAGGACAAAAAAATCTCAAACTCTAACAACAAAACTCTTCCTAAAGCAGTGGCCAGTCTGCTTTTCAGCAACAGTTCCAGGACTCATTGACACTGAATTGCATGTTGCCTAATAAAATTTGTAATATTTTAAGTAGCCAGGTTTTAGTTGATTTCATCTCATGGTGACTATAGAGACTGGAAGAACAATGTTTCAACTTTACCAGGAAAATGGGTCATTATTTGTCACAAGAACAAACTTCTAGAGTTTTTTTCCAAATTACATTACAGAGTTGCCTCTCTGATATTTTACAAAAATACTGTGTACTTCTAGTAATCCCATTTTCACAAATCATCCTTTGCAATGCAATTTACCACATTTCAAAATAATTTTGAAAATACTTTTCCACAGCTTTTTCATTTTTGAAAAAAAAAAAACCTTTCTATTTTATTTCTCTACTTCTAAGCAGTACATTTTCTGTAATATTATTGTCAGCTACTTTTTGCACACTAAAATTAAGCTCTTTGAAATTAACAGTGTAATTTATAATTTTAAGATAATGAATTTTTTACTTTGCTAAGGCAGAAAAGAGTACTCAGGTGAAAACCAAAACAAAACCAAACCTCAAAGAAACAACACACAAGCACCCTGAAACCTCCTACTTTTAGAGCTGACCCAATTATCAAAAAAGCATCCTGGCCAGCACTGTAAAACTCCAGGAATGGTGCTGAAAAACTCAATATGGTCTGAAGCCAGCTAGAACTTGCCTGTTAGTGCCCTCTGGCCTGAGAAGTAGAGAATCCATACAGTCTTTTCTAAGTGGGCTCTCATCAAAACCTCAGCTAATTCAAAGGCTCTGCTGTTTTGGTGTTTATAATTTCTTTTCTACAGTCCCATTAAACTACCAGTCAATATCAAATAAGGAGGACTCAAATCCAAAACAGCACTGCTGGATTATCCACAGAAAACTATATCACAATGCTGCTCTTTTGTAAGCTTCTGGAGGGAGTCAGAATATCATAGTACTTTGTCAAGTACTCTTAAAGGTAACCCTGGTCCTACAGGTAGCAGCACATTTACAGAAAGCTTTCCTAAACTGAATTTATTCCCCATTGGTCAGTCATAAGCCAGTTTGCGTCACTCCATTTGACTGCCTGCTCTATGATGGGTTAGAAGACTGCAGTGGGCTGGCCAACATTAAGGTAGACGTGGGGAGAGTAGATGACCAGTTGTTGTTTTTCTCCAATGGATCTTTGTTTAAATGTTGTTTTATTGATAAATTCTTCCTGCTGGGGCAAGTTCATTATGTGCTCAAATATTCTTATAACCTCTATTGTGACAGTGGTTCATAAGCTCGAGTCAAAGACAAATTATAAGACATTTTGGCTAATATTTAACAGGAAAAGAAATATTAATGCTTCAGGTATTAATTGGGAAATGGGAACAACACTGTCTCTGAAATAGGCTGGCATGGAGAGAGACTGTTTTGTACAGGTCTCCTTTCTCGGGGGAGGACCAAAGATTGCACTTCGCTTAACTGGGTTTTTTTTGTTGTGAACACTAGAGGGCTTATGCACACTGAAGTGATGGCAGTACCGAATTCAGCTAGCCTGAAGTTAGGTGTCTGAAGTACTGTTAGCAATAAACAGTGGCAGGGAAGATGAGCTACCCCACAAAGAAACTGGGTTGCTACCAGAATGGAAACTAGCTAGTTTAAGGTTGAGGTTCCTCAAGTCAGAAAACTAATTTTGTTAAGTGTCTGGAAAGATAATTTTCTGATTTGACTAAAATGTCAATAAGCTAAGTCACTGAGGGTGTAAGTGTTTTGCAAATTATGTTATCAAATCAATTTAAATTATTTTGTTAAAATAGCCACAGACAAAAAGCCATGTAAAGGAAGAGCTATAGCCTTAATATGTTTTTTAAAAATTCAGTTCTCAACAAGGCTTTATATCTATAGCCTGTTTTGGTATTCACTTTGCAACATGAGATATTTTTGTCTGTTGATACTATTTTTCAGTTTTAACTACTAAATGAATTTGAAGCATATGGAAGAGTCTATGGTTAAAATTCCTTTTTATGGGAATCTAGGTCTAGAAGAGCTGACAATTTTAAAATCTAAAGGAATTCCAGTGTCTAAAGGAAATACATAAACTATCTCTATGTTTTCTGGTTTATACCTGCTCACATAAAGGGGGATATTTTGAGTGGCAGAGGTGTATGACACCCCTCACAGGACCCTTGTTACAGGAGGCAAACAAGAGTTTCTGGTGGAATAAGGCTGTGGCTAAAGCACTGCCTTGCTCTACCAGTCATTGCAACTACCATATGGACATAAACAGTTCTTATGGATTAGTTTGGTCTCCCATTGCCTGGCCTCTTATCTCCTCTTGCAGATTGTAATTTTTAACCCTTTTTCACACTATTATTCATCAAGAATGAAACCCTCCTTTATACACTCATTTATGTCCATGTACAAAGAAGTGTCAAAATAACAAATGCTCAAGAACTGAATACACTGACATGCTAAAAAAAAGAAAAACACTCAAAAGGTCAGAGAGAAATGCACAAAACAGCTAAATACCTCTTTGCTTTCTTCCAAGTCTGATTCGCTACTGAATTCCTCTGTGTTTAGATTTTCAAAGTCAGATTCACCCACAGCAATGGGCACTGTCACAGTGAGGCTTGGGTTGTTTATGAATGACATGTAATCACTTTCGTCAATTATATATTTTTCCACACTGCTGCCTGTGCCTATGCCACTAGTTGTTCCATTCGCATCTTTAATATAGTCATGGTCCTTGCTTAGTTCCACAGTTGTATGGTTAGAAATACAGCTATTTTTGTTGTTCAAATCTTCAAGTGGCTTGATTTCATCTAAAGCTTTTTGTTTTTTAACAAAAGCTTTTTGGATGAATTCACGTGCTTTTCTTTTCACATAATCTATGCCCTTCTGCATTCTTGCTACAGCAATTTGGAGATTATTCATTTCATTGTCGTCATCTGTCACGGCTAGGTTGTCTGCACTAAATGAGCTCAACAGCAAGGCCAAAAATAGGTTCAGTACCTGCAGAAAGATAAAAAAGGATGTTCTAGGCTTTATCCCAACAAAGAACATTTATTTTATTAAAAATTGTCATATTAGCGACATCGAAGACTGAAATCCCAGTAATTCATCATAACCAAAGAAAAGCACCCTCAAAACTTTTTCTCTTCTCCATAAATTTGAGCTTTTTTATTTTGCTTACGTCCTGTTCACTATTCAAAAATATTCCTACAACTGACTAATATCTGTAAATGTGTCTTTAAATCCCCACAGTATATAAATATTCTGGTGCAAAATCTTGTAATCTAAAAATGGAGATAACAGATTTGCTATTCAGCATCATTAAAAAGTTTAATTTATCCCATCACACAGCAGAAATTAGATTATTTAGGTGACTAATCATATGGGATAAATAATAAAAAAATCCACAGCAAATGGTTTATAAAGAGCCCATAAACTAAAATTATTTGAAGCACAAAATATTTACAAAGAGCCAAAAGACAAATTAAGAATGTGACTAAGTGCTCACTCTAACATTCTTAGGATTTTGATATTGCAGAATACTTTGTTCTCAATCCAAAAAAGCTCTTAAGCTTAACTTTAAGCATCGCTTGAAACCACCTGCTTAAGTGCTTTGTTGAAACAGAGCCAGAGCACTTAGTTCATTTCAGGATTGAGCCCACTCTATTGCCAAATAATATTTTGCTAATGCTTTGATTACATACCACTAGGTTTCCAATCACCATGACCATCATGAAGACAGTAAGGCACATGGCTTGACCAGCAACCTCCATGCAGTCCCACATCGTTTCTATCCATTCTCCACACAATACTCGAAATACGATCAAAAAAGAGTGAAAAAAATCTTGCATGTGCCAGCGTGGAAGTACACAGTCACTTGCAATTTTGCAGACACATTCCTTGTAGTTTTTCCCAAACAGCTGCATCCCAACCACAGCAAAAATGAACACAATGATGGCCAGCACCAGGGTCAGATTACCCAGAGCTCCCACAGAGTTACCAATAATTTTTATCAGCATATTTAGAGTTGGCCAAGATTTTGCCAATTTGAAAACTCGTAACTGAAAGAAAAGCAAAATGTTGTGAGGACAACCAGCAAGAAAGACAGAAAGATATTTTAAAGTTAATTTGTGGAAGGATATTACTGCAAAACATGCCCTGAGTATGACTGTTCACAGGATATCCTCTTGTCTAAAAGCATGAAACAACAAATTTTTGTGAAGTTAGAGCTTGAGATCCTCAAAGCATAGGTTTTACTGAAGGCCAAAGAAGCTACTGGTCATATTAGATGGAATTTAAAATCCAGGGTTCATCTGTTAAAACCACCTGGGCCACTTTTCTACTGGTATTTGTAGAGTAGATCTATTCATGTGATGCCAATCAGAGCACAATGCATCTACTGAGTCAATTTGTTTCTGAATAGCAGGATGTTTAAAGTGTGTATATACAATAAATGCATTGGAAATAGGCCCAGGGCATCCATTGCTATCTGTCTGGATCTCTATCAATTGCTATTGCAGACAGTAAGATACCACAAGTAATAAGGACTTGTACTAATGAAAGAGACATCAAGATCAGTATCATAGCAAATATCAAGAATTTTTTTAAGGCAAAAAATTATATTATTTTAATGAAGTCCCATTGGAAAATCGGTGCAATTGATGTATATTTACCAATCTGAATGATCGAAGAACTGAAAGTCCTTCCACATCTGCAAGACCAAGCTCGACCAAGCTAAGGGTTACAATAAAACCATCAAAAATATTCCAGCCTTCCTGAAAATAATAGTAAGGATCCATTGCAATTATCTTGAGAAACATTTCTGCTGTGAAGATTCCAGTGAAGACCTGCATTCAAAATGCAGTTTGTTATTTCACTGCAAAATATAATATTACAGATTTAGCTGTTGTCTAGGTTTTTAATTCAAGCTACATATCTGCAATGTTTATCCAAAACTGATACATAAAAATAGTTGTGTAGTGCAGTGATTTATTATACCTGCCTTCCCTTAACAAGTGCCATACAAACCAAGTAATTTTTTCAATTAATTAAATTTTATACTAAACAAATTACATAGACTTCTGTTTTATAACATTTATAATCCAATTTCAACTCTATCAGGATATGGTCTTTCTCTTGTACTGTCAAACAATATCCCAAATTTAATTTTCACAACATAAACCAGAGTGCTTTCCAAGAAATTACATGGTATAACATCTTTCTTGGTATACTAATTACATTATACAGCAGCATGAATGAGGCCAAACCTAAGACTCCAGAGGGGCAGATCCTTTGCTGGTATAACCTGCCATAATCCATTCAGTTCATCAGAGATACAATTATATATACCAGATGAGGATCAACTGAGATACAAGAATTTGCTGAAGCTGAGGAACTTCTACCTGGGTGTTGACAGTAAGTTCAGTGAAGTTGATTGGCTCAATCACTTTAATGTGGAATGAGAGAACATTTAAGAATGCATTTTAAACATGATAATGCTGGTAATGGTTTCTCATCATGGGATGCTATGCTGAATGAAGTAGGAATCTTATTTAGGAGCGACCGAGGTAGTGACCCTGAGTAGCTTTGAGAGAAGACTTAGAAGAATTTCATGTAGAATAGGAAGGTACTAAAGCTACTGTTAAAGGCTGCCTGAACCCTGGTCTGAAATGCTTTCTTTTTTGGTTTTGACAACCCATTTTCAAGCAAGCTGAACAGAAAATGGGACAGCTAAAGAGAATAATCTAACTAGGATAATCAGGAGATGGACAAGAATAGTCTGACTTGCTCTGCCTAGGAACACCAATGCTCAAGATAGATTCTACTACAGTCTATACATTCCAGATATAAACACTGGAGAGGGAAAGGTTACTACTTTTTAAGCTACAGGATTGGAACCACTGAGGAAGAGTCACGAATGAAAGTGTTTCAGTTTGAAACACTGACTTAGGTTCCTAGCAATCAGGACAGTGAGGTTCTCAAGGAGCTTTACAGTGGAACTACTGGAGCAGGTGAACCCTGAGAGCCTCTATATTGCGTAAGGGGTTTATGTCAGGCAGCCTAAGACTGGAAGAGCATGGTGCTTATAGCCAGGTCCTCTTGCACTCCATTTGTAGTCAGATGAACGCTGAGATTTATATGGCATTTTCTTGGTTGACAAAACCAGCCTATAAAACACTACAATACAAGAGTTTACATTTTACTAGGAAACTCGATTCAGTTTCCCTTATTTTAAGTATGTGAAAACCAGCTATGTATTCGGCTGTTAATTCTCCCTTCTAAATCCTGTAGTTATTTACATGATCTGAGATATTTTTTTCCTCATTAAAAAACAAGGATTATTAAAAATCCCATTATAAGAAATCAATTCTTAAAATAAGAGACAAAGTAGGATGCAACTGCAGATACTTCTATGTGATCAAACCTGTCAGTTCAAAAGCATCAGAGCTACAAAAAATTAACTCCTGAATTATTTAATAATTTATCTGTTTGAAGTAGAAGGCAGAAAATATAGTTGACAACATGAGGAAAAGATATCTTACTAATTATATGATGATTAAAAAAACCTGTAAGAGGAAAAAGTACTGCAGGATATTTTTCATAGTTTTACATAAAGCATATAAAGAAAACAATCCACATAAATTCTTTTACAGAAGAAAATTCTAGAAATGCTTTTAAATTTTTAGCTATTGTGAACCTGTGCTCAGGAAACAGAGCAATTAATTAAAAACACATTCATAATTTAAAGATTTGTATTGCATTGATTGAAAAAGTAACACTACCTTTATTTGCATAGTGTCTTTTTATGGAAGTAAAGCATTTACTGGTTCAGTAGTTAGACAAATCAACTGCTGTTTAAGATGGACTTTACTTAATATAGCATCAGTGCCATTTTTTAAATTTTTAATTTGGCTTAGCAGAACACTGCAATATATTGATTTTACAGTATCCTAAGTTACATAAGCCAGGGTTGACACTGAAATTTCCAAAAATGTTCTGATAGAGTCATATCTGGAGGCCAATAAGTGTCCAATAAATCTACTTTCTAAAGATTAATAATAAAAAAGCTGTTAAAACTCCTTCTTTCAGTTATTTCAGACATACTTCCTTACAAATCACGAACATAAAAACCCAATAGACTTACCAGATTTCCAACTGAAAGTACATTATTGAATTCATCGGTCATTGGATAATGTTCCATAGCCATAAAAAGTGTATTTAAAACAATGCAAATTGTAATAGCCAGGTCAACAAACGGGTCCATTACCACTAAGTTGACGATATGTTTTACTTTTAACCAATGTGGACTGCAGTCCCAGATCAAGAAAATATTCGCAAATTTATACCAGCATGGTGGGCATTTCTGTCTTGATTCTTCGAGTTCTGTGGGAAAAGAAAGTTCATACAGGTTACTGTGTGACTGTTCTAACATTTCTCAATCCTATATGAATTGTACAAGTCAAGTTGTCATTCTAAACTGGTACTGATTAACCTCCTATAAGCATACCCTTTATACTTTTTTTACAGAGCTTTTCAAGGAAGTCTTTAAAAATTGCTATCAAATGTATTTATTTTGTTCAAAGCTTATCTATCAAGCACAACTTCTGTGTATTCCAATCACTGTTCTGATCAGGATCAATTTATGCATAGATTTGTATTATGTTTTTTATTGTTCCTTGATTACACTTCAGCCTGTTCCTCCCACTTACTGTTCTATTATGTAAAGATTTTTATTTTTAAATTTGTGGTGTTTAGGTAAAAAATTTTCAATATAATTTTAATTCCTAGTTCAAGAAAAAAGCATTTTTATCACCTAGAACAGCACTTCTTTAAACAGTAACTGAATAAATATAACTGTTAAAAATATATAAATTTTTTAACAATGATTGCATATATTTGAAAAATGTTCAGTGGCCTTTTTGTGTCCAAGAATATATTTTTCATAAATATACATACGCATCCACTCAGTTATGACCATCAAACATATAGTCCTGATGACTATGAGGTAGATGATGGCAAAACAATGAGATAGAAATGCTTATTTATGTAGTAAGTTTAATGATTACTTGGGTAATAACCTTAATGAATAAAGAGCTTTCAGTTTACTGATAAGTATGTGTTGGTTTGTGGGATGGTATGTGTTAATTAAGCTATTTTAAATCAGTTTTTAATTTTAAACTCAAATTTTCAGAACTCCATTGAAAAACCAGGTAGTAAATATTAAGCTGTGCGAGGCACACACCTTCCACAGTGTTTGTGAGGATGCTAGCAATACTCATGGCTCTTTCTCTTAAAGCGGGATCTTCCAGGAAGTCCATAGAAACATGGAAAGAGCTTGATATTCTCTTCCTCATTTCTGTTTCTGTAGTGGTGCCCTATACAGAGAACAATAATAGCTGAGACCATGTTGGAGTAATAAGATATGCAAATACTATATAGAGCCCTGTTATTAATGTCTTAGCTTGGATACGTGCTTCGTGCACTTCAATTTTTATCATGTCAGACTTTTATTACTTTTTAGTATCTTTTAAATAATTTTTAAATTATATGAGGCAATAGTTACCTACTGTTCAAGACTGAGAGTTTATTTACTTAACTTTTGCATTTCTTTCCTTCAAGCTATGAAAAATGATTTTTAAAAAATGGAAATTGAGTTCAAAATATTGGATAAACTTTTTGCAAACTGTAATGTTTTTCCTTGCTCCTGCTGCCAGAATATTCTGGGTTTTGTAACATAACAGTCTTTTCCCCTAGGCAAACTGTAGCAAGTAAGAAAAGTCTGACTTTCTCATGCTTCCTCATGCTAGTATGTTTTTAGTAATGTGAGTAGACAACTTTGAACTAAGCAAGAAATTTTTTTGAGACATCTTCTCTTACCTTGTATATGGTAAGAGAATGGGAGCAATACATGTTGCACCTATGTTCACAGAGACATTTGTATTTTTGAAAGTATATATTGAAATGTGATCTTCCAATGAACCTTTGTTATCTATACTACAGAAATCCATCAGCAACGGATGAAAAATATGTAGGACTGAGAAATAAATGATAATAAAGAATTGACAACTTCCTTAAATTTTTAATGGGGCTCATAAGGAAGAATGTTATCAAAATTAACTAATAATGCTAATTTTGATAAAGTGGTAATAGCAGCATCATATAGATTGCAGTTATATGATAACATTTTTGTATACTATTTTCAACTGTATAGTAACTGATTTTGCAGACCTCAGCCAGACAGACCTTTAGATCAGCAAAAGTATAGCACAGTAATACAGTAAAGCATAGTGCTTTTATGTGTAATTTAGTTAATATTTTATTACTTGGAAACTGTGAATTGTATTTGTTAGTTATGAGAATATTTGTCAGTAAATGCTTAGGTTGCAAACCTATCTTAGCTGGTTTATTTATTAAAGATTTTACAAGATGCATGAGCATTCACAGCTTGACCAACCAGGAAGCATTGCCAAGGGTTCCATTCTGTAGAAAACACTGGCTGGTGTAGTAAGAAAAAGCCACGATGCCTAAGCTATTTAAAACTTTCTTACATTGTCATCAGTAGCTGGTTTATCTATTATCACCTCTGGCAGAAGCTGTCCAACAGGCGATGTAGGAACAGATGGTCCACCAACCAGGGAAACCACCCCATTGCAATCCACAGTGCTGTGCATCTTCCCATTCACTGGAAACACTGCCAGCATCCTGGATGACCTACTGGCCTGACTAATGTTACTGTTGCGCCGTTCACCGTGTCTGCGCGGCACAAAGAGAGAATCTCTTCTGCTATCATTGTCTTCAAAAGTGCTGTGCTCATCATCAGCAAAGTCATTTTCTGATCCTATATCCTTTGCTCTACCTCTGAAGCTGAAAAGGCTTGTTCTGCTGTTGCGCCTTGGAGAAAATAGGGAGCCGCGAATGCTCAGCAAAGACTGCAGGCAAACAAAATTTGTGATTATTAGCTGAAACCTTCAAACTTAGCATTGTTATTAGGACAGCATAGGGGTTTTTTTCTTATATGAGAGTAACCATTTTTCCCAGAAGCTAAATGCTGCTGTGAAATTTTTGCATGTATTTCATTATATTTATATTTTGCAGATAAAAATACCACTGTTCATGGATTCTTAAGATAAAACCAATTTTGAGCACTCCTTTCTCCTAATGTCAGTTAGAGTTGCTGAGTAGAGCAGTTGCACAATACCCATCAAGCAAAAAAGGGAGTCTATACACGCACATTCTTTCATGTATGCAGCATCCTGCACATATTGAACCAACCTCCAAACATCATTGAAACAGGAAGAAAATATGAGGCTACGATAATGGAAAAATACTGTAGCATTTTAATAAGTCTAGATAATATATAATCACTCTAACATCCCCCCCCCCGAATCAATTAGAGAATATTTTAATATGATTTTTAAGCAATCCCATTACAAGAATAGAGATATGAAGTTCATTTAATTCTCTGTGCTTTTTTATAAGACAATCTAGCAGCTATAGCACTTTCTCTCAAGCACTAGCAACTATAAAGTTTAATGAAAATCTCAGTCTTTCCTTTCTTTAGGCAGTAGGGTCATATTACGGTACCAGGAAGACTAAAGTTATTTTGTAACAGCCTATGATGCTTTAAATGTATGCTTCTACTAAAAACAACTATATGCAATACCTGATGTGGAGAAGAATACTTCTTTTCATATGTCAATCTATTGCCTTCAATGGATAATCGGAAACCTTTCCTTCTGATGCTGTCCTCTGATTCAGACTTGTGAAATTCATCTTCATCTTTCTCCTCTCCTCCAGATTGCTCTTTCTGTTTTCTTTTTTTCCTTCTATTTCTCCTCTCTTTTGCACTCTTTGAGCTCAATTTTGATGCCTCTGAAGAACTTTCTGAGAGCCCTCCTGCTTCTCCCCCAGCGCTGGGCTCCCTGGACTCCGCAGATGCTGTTACTGCTGCCGCTGCCACCGCTGCTGCCTGCCATGTTGCAGAATGGATTTGTGTCACTGAGCAAACCACAACATCATGGGGGGGTTTAAAATTTACTTATACAGAATTTATAGTCCAAACACCCTGGATCTTAACACTTTCCATAGGATATCATCTATTTTTTTTCTAACTTGTATTACTCAATTGACTCAAGATCTGTGTTAGTCATAGCCTTCTTCCATCTTTCATGAGTAGTTTTAAAATGCAGAAGTCTAAAACAGCCTCTATTAATGACAGTAGACTAAGACAGACATAATGAATAATGTATACCTAGTTTTGAATATTCCTTCTTGATTATGGCTGGATCATTCACAGTACAATGTCTTTAGTGCAGAAGAGAAAATCTCTGAGCTAGCTCTGTTGTTGAAAGCCCAACAGAGGGTTTTATAACTCCAAATTCAGAAAGCGGAGGGTGATTATCTCTAGTAAAATTACTTCCATACACTTCTGCATTACTACACCATAAGTTATACCTGAGCTGCTTCTTGTTGCTTCTTCAGTTGCTCCAGCATCTGTTGAAATTCTGCCTCTTTCTGCTCTGCCTCTTCCATGGTTGCTTGATTCTGTTCTTCATAGGCCATGGCGACCACAGCCAGGATCAAGTTGATCAGATAGAAAGAGCCCAGAAAAATCACCAGAACAAAAAATATCATGTATGTCTTCCCAGCAGCACGTAGAGTCTGGAAATAAGAACACATTTGTAAGCAAGAATAGGTTAACAAAAGTTCTGGTTTTCATATTGTTAAAATTAAGATAACATAAGAAAATTTAATTTATGCCTCTTGCATTATTGGTACAAATATATTTAGTCAATTTTGCATTAAAAAATTCTCACCAGTTGATAAAGGTTTTCCCAGAAGTCTTGAGTCATCAAGCGAAATAATGACAAGAAGGCCCAGCTGAAGGTGTCAAAACTTGTGTAGCCATAATTGGGGTTTCTACCAGCTTTCACGCATGTATATCCTTCTGGGCACTGCCTACAAAGACACACTGGGTGTTACCTTATAGAGTTATTTTAATATTATCACCTGGAATGTCCAGGAGAAGATTAGGATTAAAAAGTGGATTTTTCTTTAGTTAATCAGACTAGAAATAATACCAGTTGTGATTTTTAATAGAAAATTATTTTAAAGGAAACTAGAAAATTTAAGCAGGAAAGGCACCTAAAAAACAGTGTTAAAAGTTTAATCTAAGCTTCTAAAACATAATATTCCAAATAATTAATTATTAATGTTGTAACATTAATGTCAACATCAGTGTTTTCTACTGTCCGAGCTTTAGTACTTACATGTGCAGCTGGAACTGCAAAATAACACGCAAAATGCATTTTCCAGCTGCTGTCTCTGTTACTTCTCATCCAAGCAGGAGCTACACTAATACCAAATAGTTGATTTGTTCATACAAAGACTAAGCTCATCTAACCAATCCACAGAGATCTGACCAAGAACCCAAATCCTCAGTGAGTGTAAAATCCTAGTATTTCTCATGTGAAACAAAGTGGTCACTCAAAATATAGCCACCCTCCACCTGCACATCTAAAGAACATGGATCTAAATTCTACACAGTGCAATAATATGATGGCATTTGATCTTACCCAGCATCAGAACTATTTCCGCAAAGCAGAGCATCGTTCTGCCCTTCCAGAAAATAAAAATGACCTGTTTAGAAAAGAATTTAAAAAAAATTATAAAATTCTGAATATGAAAGTTTTCTTAGAGGTCTATGAAATAAACAGTCCTGCTCTAAAAGTGTTAAGGTGATTTCAGATGCAGTTTTGAACAAGCAGTATTATTTTTTCAGTAGGACCATAACTTTGGAGTAAATGACAATATGAACTGCAGTAAGTGCTATCACTCATAGCACTTACTGTTAAAATGACAAAATGTACTAAAAACTCTGTCAAATGCTGCTGGATGTACATGAAATGTACAATTCTCCCTTCAGTCTGATCACTGAACTAAACCACACTTTGTGAAATTATATTGTACGGTTATTTATTATAATAATTAAAGTGTATCTGAAAAAAAAACCACGATAATTTATTTGTCAAGGGTTCCAGTTTGTCACTTACAAACACTTGTGACAGTTATCTAATAGGTGAGCTCTGCAGAAAACCACCCAGCTGCCAATGGCTCTAACTGTTCTGGTTGTGTACACACTGCAATTAGCCTACTGATTGGTATGAAGGCCCTGGTATGGATCAAAATTTAACTCGGACAGAATTACTGCAACAGTCACCGACTTGTGTAGATAGGATTGTAGGAGTATATGATGAAATTATTGATCACCTTAAATAAGAAAAATTCGGTTAATTCCACCAAATTGCCCTGTAGCCAACCATCCCATAATCTGTACAGTAATTCTGTATTTAAGTGACATTTTAGATGGTTTAAACAACAAAGACATTGACCTGTTTATTCTTAGAAGAATAAAGAGATGATGCACAAAACATTGTCCTTATGAAGATTCAGTTTGACTGTATCCTTGAGAAGTGCTTTTCTTTTTCCCCTCAAAGCAGATGCCTACAGTTGCTAAGCTCTTGATTTTGGAAGAATTATCACAGAGGGAGCTTCCTCCTGTAGTAGTGATCTCCCATTTGGTCACAGGCTTAAGGATACAATTTATGTAGGGTCAGACCATGTAGCCCAGTATCCCATTTCTGAGGGAGACCAAAAGCATTGCCTCAGGATGTCTGTAAGGACAGGGCAGGGACATGGTGATGCTCCCCTGAGCACCTCCCCAGCTTCCAATACTTCTGAAGCACAGCAGCTTCAGAGTTAAGGTGGTACCTTTTTTGCTTCCTGAGAAGACTTAAACACCCCATTGGATATCTTTTCCATTGAACTGGCCTGTTAGATGCCCTTAAAATGATCTCATCTGAAATGCTTTGACTGTAGCTGTGCCGGCTGTGCTGCCCAAACAGAGTTCCTACAGAAGCTGATGAATTCTGAGTCTGAGGAGATGTCACAAGCTACTGGCTTAGCACATTGATTTGAGGCAGAAGGAACACAGTACCCTGACTAGCTGCATCTCTCCATCCTGTGAGCAAAATTCACCATTTGGAAAAGTTAGGTTTTAAGCCATATGTAGACCTTGTTCTGTTACTCTGTGAAGGACTCAGTTTCAGTGCCTAGTGATACACTCGTATCTTACAGGCAACAATCTTCTGTGCAGTGCAAAGCGTACAACCCTATGTGTGACTGCTGTCATTCTGAGCTGGTATGCATTGCAGAGTTGCACTCTGCTGAAACACAGCTGCAAATAGTAAGGTTAGCTGCCAGGATGCTGACCACAGCTGACCCCTATGAGGCAAATCTTATTCTGCATTATGTCAGCTAATCAAGATTAAAACACACTGGAACATAGCAGCTGGTTGGGAAGAATGCAAACCTGACTTGATGTAGTTTCCATGGAGCAGTCGTGATCAGTACTGCATCAGCTGAGCTGAACTGCTGAAACAGGGTCTGTATTCCAGTTCTGTGGTTCAGATAAGACGTGCTCTGCAAGCACGCTGTACTTGCCAGCTCTGCAGAAATAGCAGCCACCCAGGCTTTCTCTGAGTGCACTGATACAATGGTGACAATTGCTTATTATCATGATAGAAAAATTTTTATAACACAAGCCAAGCAGTATAAGCATATGTCCCTAACTAGATGCAAAACGCTGAATTGTATCTTACTAAAGTAATGCGAAAAGTCCCTCACTACATCAAATGTATATGTTTGGCTCCCCTTTATTTGATTGGGAAATGGGAAAAAATCCCTGGTAGATAAACACTTCAAAGGAATTTACAGTTGTTTGGGTAAACCTAGAGTAATGACTGAGAATAATTGTTATTTCATAAAATAGATTGTGAGATGATAATGCCCAGAAAAATTTGCTTATGGCAAGCTTGCCAAGATAAACTTAAACTTATCTAGCATTAATTTTATCAGATTTTCTATGTTGGAAAAAAAATGGGGGGGGGGGAAGACTGTTTGACTCATTAATGCCAGGAATGCTTACATAAAGTTTCTCTAGATGGTATTTCCAAAAAATGAGCTCAGTGGCAAAATTAGGGTTTACATGCCTTTTCTGTATAGTATACACAACTATTGGCATAAAAACTTTTATAATTCCTACAAAAGACAGTGCCATTGCACTGCTCTGAACACCAGCTCCCCTTCTATTGCTGTGTGACACAGCTGGTTTAAGCTGGTTTCTGTATCCTCTCTGCCCATGTGGAAGAAGAGAGCAGGAAGCTGCAAAAAGATAATTTTTCTCTTTGAAACTGCTGGTAAGCAAGGACAAGCTTATTAGCTTCATAATAAGACTCATAATTTCATTATAAATTTCATAATACATATGAAATCCTGTGTAAAAATACCAAAGGGTCAAGTAGCCATTCAATAAAGTGTTTTCTGTAACTAATTCAATTCAGCTTTGTTTTTCAAGGTGCTTCAGGTCTTCTTTAAATCAAATGAAATCAGAGGCTGAGTTTATACATTCTTTATTAAAAAGCCAGAAAATTAAGTTTGACCTTGAAGTCTAGGTCTTCATCAGGAGACTTTGCTTAGACTTTGTTATACTCTGTGACATGGGATTTCCATGAATTCACATGTTCAAGTAAAGTGAGTTTCACAAAAAGATTGCATCTTAATTTAAGAAATTCAGATGGAAATCCATCATAGTCATTGATCAGCTGTGTGATCACAGTTAGAAGCTGTCTTACTTCTATTTGAAATTTGTCTGGCTTTGACTTGCAGCTCTTGAACCTGTTATATCTTTGCCTGCTAGATCAAAGATATATCTATGATGAAATTTCTGTTCCCCATGAGGTTTATCTCAACTGTGATCAAATCACCCCTTAAACCTCGACTTTGATATGCTAAATAGGTTGAGCTCCTGGTCTATCTTGGTATAAAGCACGTTTTCCAACCCTTTAATCATTCTGCTGTTTTCTGAACATCCTCCAATTTTTCAGCATTCTATCTAAATTGAACTTTATATAGTATTCCAGTAGCAACTGCAGTAGTGCTAAATACTGGGGTAATACTGCCTTCCAGGTCAATAATTTATTTATGTGAACAGGATACTATTTAGCTTTTTGGCTGCAGAGCTATAGCCTTAATTTGTCAGTGTCCTGGCCGCTTCACAATGCCTTAGGTGCCTTAGCCTCTCTATTGCTAAGGACTTTCCAATTGCATTTCTATATCCTGCCTCTCAGTTGCAGCTCTGCAACCGTTCATGTAAGCTGCTGTAGCAGTGTTTTCCAGAGCCTCTGTGGCACTATTTTGCCTTTGTTCTCATGCTGTTTTTCATGTTGCTGTTATTCTCATGATGGTACACCTGCAAATGCATTATTGTTGCAGCAGGTACTCATGGAAAGAAATTGTCTGGGGGGTGAGATTCACTCCTCTTTCTCCCCTTTTCTCCTACTCCTTGCTTGTAGTTTTTTGTTTATATTAGGTGACCTAATAACATGCCTGTACAAGCTTAAAAACCAACCAACCATGCAGCACCCACCCTGATTAAAGTGCTTTCCAATTAGTGCTAATAGCACTGTAAGCAGGAACAACCTGTAGGGAGTTTGAGGAGATGCTAATGAAAACTACACAGTTGCTATGGGAAAAGTATTATGGAGTGATCACTGCTGCTCCGGAAAGGTTACCCAGGGGAGGAGACTCACCTGGGGACCCCACCACTTCTCTTCACAGCTGGCTGTTGCAGTCAGTTTTCCCTTTCCCCTTCCCTTTTCTTTCTCTCTCTCCCCTTCAGTTCTTTTTTTCCTCCAAAAATAACTTTCACTGTTAGAGATGACATATGCCACCAGCTACAGTCTTTATGCACATGAACCTATCTCAACATGAATTGTGCAGCATTGATTTTTAGGATAGGGAGCTTAGGTTTGTAACCTCATATTTAACTGTACTGAAATGCATTTCTTTATTCTCAGTCTGACAGGCTGCTCTGTATCAGCAAAACTTGTGGGAAAATCATACTTTGGGAAATTATCAAAACGGAAAGATGTAGCAAAACAACTTCTGAAGAGGTTTCTCTGAGATTGCTGCTATTCAAGGTTTTAACTAATCTAGGTGATGGAAGAACACATCAGATTTGCAATGATACTGATCTGATAAGGATGGTGGTGAGTTTGAGGAAACAATTACACTTTAAAAGATCCAGGGCAGTTGGAGAGATGGTCTGAAAAAATAGGGTGCTGTTCAGGCTGAAACAATGAACTATGCAAACACAAAGTGGGAACTCAATGAGGTAAAACTCTGTAAAAGATTCAGGAGGCAGGTAGGCCACAAGCTGAACAGGATTTAATGATGTCACAATTATAAACAATGGCAAGTCCTAGCCTAAGATATATAAAACAGAAGTATAAGTTACTATGCAACACATGTTCTTTCTTCTCTACTTAGTATGCCTCATGCGGAGAAGAAATGCCTAGATGTGGGTACTGCACTTTAAGAAGGATATTTATGAACAAAAAAGGATCCAGATGTGAGATCAAGATCTAGAAAATAAATTGTAGGAGAAAAAGGTCAATGATTTGGGTTGCTTAGCATACAAAAAGAAGACTGAAAGAGGAGACCACAGGGCATGGCAACATAAGAATAGTCTCTAGATACCTCAGAGACAATGATTAATGATAGGGAATAATTTGGTTTTGATGCCTGTGGTGAAGTTGGTAAGAACAAAGAGGTTAAATTGCAGCAGGAAAATTTGTTAGACCTTAAAAAAACCCCTTCCTAATAATAAGGATAGTGAAGCACAAGAATGGATAGATGGTGAAGAATGGATAGATGGTGAAAATACTGAAGACTCCATTACTGGAGTCCTCACTGAATGTCAGAAGTCTCTGATATCTGTCAGAAATGACATAGCAGTCAGCTGCTGATCTTACTTTGGAGTATGGGAATGGAAAATGTTTAAGACTGTTAAGCAGTTTTAAGAACTCCTTTGGACTTCCTTCTGTCTCAGGGGAGATGTGGATTTGGCTGCTGAGGGAGCTGAGAGGGAGCTGAGGTAAAGAGCCCTATCAGGTAGAGAGACCATGTTCCTTGTTCCCTCTTCCATGCCAGCCTTTGGAGCAGATCTAAGAGAGAAAACACTTCTGCTGTCTTAACTAAATGTATCATCCCTTTCTCTCCTTATTTCTAAGAACTGGGTCAGCCACAAATCACTTCAGTAAGAATTATGCTGACAATACTTACTTTCATCTTCAATGTACCCCTTCCAGTCAAATGGAGTCACTGTTGAATTAACCAATGTACCATTTTCACCTATGGTACTGTTTAGCTGGGAAGTAATATTTGTTTCCAGAGTAAAATTTTCTGGAGGCCACTGCAGGCATTTATTCCTCAAGTTGCCCATGAACAGCTGCAGCCCTATTAGTGCAAATACACTCAGACAAAACACAGTCAGGATCATAACGTCCGAGAGCTTCTTCACAGACTGAATTAGGGCTCCCACGATAGTCTTCAAGCCTGCAAATGCAAAGGAATTTTTATTCTGATGTTCAAAACTTTTTTAAAGCATAAAAATGACAGGGTCTCCCAGTAAAGTTATAAATTTCATGCAGAAGCCCAAATAAATGATTGTAATGTCTGTGAAATAACATTTTTGTGAAGAGCTTTTTCACTTGTGAAAATGAATAAATAGCTGAAATTTATGTTCATTTGAAACTGTGAATGGAATGAGTTGCATATATTTCAAAACACTTGTTTTAATGCTAAAACAAGTGACTTTTCTTATTCATGCTGTACATGAATCTCACATAAAAGTCTTCTTTCTTTTTATTTGTCAATACCTCTTGCCCCAAACCTTTGCTACTATCAGTTTTATAACATACTAGATTTAGAAGACAGTAGTAAAAAGCCTGTTCAACAATAAATAGGGTTAAAATTTAATGCTATAAAACTGGAGATGGTTTGGAAAATCATAGAATTTTAAGATAATAAATCCCCCATGCAATGCCCATGCTATTCTTTATTATCTTATTCCTTCATCTTCTTACTAAGTCAACATTTCAAACAGTTCTATTTTTCAGACACAAATATTCACAACAAATACCACATAACATCATGTAGGTAAGATACACATAGGTAAGAAAACTTCAGGGTTACTGATATTCATTGAATGTGGAGAAGAAAGCTTGACATCATACGATGCAAACCACACACGCTGTGTACTGCAATGTCTCATGCAAGAATCTGTTAAACTCAAAGGCTGATTTCAAAAGGAAAGAGCTCATGTTAAAAAGCAATGAATCAGAGATTTCAGTGAATCCTAATATCTTCCGATTCCTGCTTTTTTGTGGAAAGCAATAAGACTTATGTTTAAAAAATATGAATTCCATTTCAGTGAACTAAAGTCAGCCTCAGTGTTTAACCTAGCTCTCACCTGGAATGACTGATATTGTTTTCAAAGCTCGGAGAACTCTGAATGTTCTCAACGCTGAGACATTGCCCAGGTCCACAAACTCTGTCACATATCTGTAATAGGGGAGTTCACACACAAACACAATGACAGGATAAAAAGGAACAGTTGGGAGGTACAAGGGGCCTAACACCTTACACCAACTACTTCTTACCTGGGATTACAGAAATAGTTTTCAAAGCTCTCAATACTCTGAAAGTTCGAAGAGCTGAAACATTGCCTAGGTTTACAAATTCTGTTACATACCTGTAGGATTAAATCACAGTTATTCAGAATTTAGGCAAAGTTTATGCTACTTACTTGGGTCTTTCATCAAGACCGCTTTGGCGTTTTTAGCAAAAAATTAAATAGCAACAGTCAGAGGTTTACCTTTCACTGCAGTTTGCCTTGCATTAATATGCTTTCAGAGCCTTCAGTTAAATTAAATGTCTCTGAAGTGAATCGCAGTGATTTAACTTTGAAAGCCTAAAATTTATCTAGACTAGATTGGTAAGTTTGGAGAATGAAGTCAAAGGGATGCTCCTTTTCTGCTCAGAGAAAAAAAATGCAGGACATGAAATTAGCCTCTCTAATACTAGCTGTACTAACGGCTTCTGCAGTATTTATGTTTACATCAAAATATGCATATTAGAATGTGAAAATTGTTTTAGTCAAAAGTAAATCCATACAAGAATTTCCATTTAATGAAATTGATATGCATCGATACTAATTTCATGCCCTTTTTGCCCTTCACTTTCAAAGTAAAAGCAAAAAACAAAAACTTACGCAAAGGTAATGACAGTGAAATCAAGCCAGTTCCATGGATCTCGAAGAAAAGTAAAATCTTCTAAGCAAAAGCCCCTTGCAATGATTTTTATGAGTGACTCAAATGTGTAAATTCCAGTGAACGTATACCTGGAAAATATAGGAAAATTGAATCAAAATAAATAGCAACATTATACATTGGTATTCTGATAAAAACCTGACAATCAAATAAAAGAGTGTTTTATTTGAAAACTGGAAAAGAAATACAGTAAATAAGCAATTTCTTCTAAAATGCATTATATTTATCATATATACTCGTGTATTTACATGCATTAGTTGTGACATGCTGTTGAAGTACAGCAGTCCTGATCTTGTAAATAAAATCAAAATAAATATATCCATCAAATGATATATATTAAAAATGTATCAGTGATACTCAGTTCAAAAGTATTCAACACTAGATCAGTTACTGTTAACGAAAAATGTTGTAAGCATAAGTTACTGGACACTGTCTGAATCACTAACATCTAAACCGTCTGGTATTAACTCTAAAAAGGGAAGAACGCAGGCATGCATTGAATTCTCACTTTATGAATACTTTTGCTTATGTGCTGTCCTTAATTGACGTCTACAAACAGACGGCTGTGGTTCTGCTGTCGATGCAGTCGTGTAAAGGACGGGGGAATACACTGGGTAGATGCTAAACCATGAAGATGAAAGAGAACTAGTGGAATCTCAATAGAATACTATCTGTAAACAACATTCAATTTTTCTACCCAATTGTTCTACTAGAAGGAGATTTAAATAATTATTCAACTTTTCTACATAGTTTAGAGAGGAAATAGTAGTAGTGTCTCACAATAGTTCCTGCCAGCACACATAACTGCAGTTACTGGCATGCTGACTTCTAGAGGAACAGTTAAAGATATCTTTAAATAACATAGGCAACTTACTCTACATTCTTTGTCCAGTCTGGAGGGTTACTCATGGTCATAAATACACAGTTGGTCAAAATAGTGCACATGATAAGCATGCTGAATAATGTAGACATAGTTAAGGAAAACATTATAGAAATTCATACAATATCACATCAGCTGTATATCTTAAATACAGTAAAATATTGCCACTTATACAAATCATTTAGACTTTGGTAAACATTGCACGTATATTTTGTTTAACTTGGTAGTTTTCACTTTAGCACATTAAACTTGAATATTAGTCTTGATGTTCTGATGTTGATTTCTTGATGTTCTCGTGTTTCATTTTCAGCTGGTACTAAGAGGTGAAGGAGGTCATGTGAGCTGAGTAACAGCCAAAACCAAAATAAGTAAAACAGTATTCTTCTGCAAGTACCTAACATGACTGAATAAGCATTAGTCTTTCACTTCTAGAGCATTGGTACTAAACTCAACAGCTGGCATATGCAAGGTGAAAAAGTTTATCCTATTTACCATGAGTCAGAGCTGTAGAGACAGCGTGCACCACCCCAGCACAGCCAGTCTAGCAAAGCCACAGAACAAAACACAGAATACTGGTTTTAATTCCTGAAGTGACTGTATTCCATGTTTCCCTATCAGTAGCTCAGCAGTACATGCTTCAGTCAGTGAAACAGAAATCCATAGAGAGCTCACAGATTAAGGTGAGTAATTTTCCAATATTATTTTTGGGCTCTCTCAAAACACGTTAGCAGGAAAAGAAGCAGCTCTTGTTCTACCAATGCTATAATTTGAAAATGGTTCAATAGTACCTTGTGGTCAGCTGCTTGAAAAGTATGGAAAACTGGTGAAGATTAGAATGAAAATTAATTTTTATTTAGAGTTCCAGCAAGGTACAATTAGTTATTCTGGGACTATGAAACCCAGACTTACAGCTCAGAGGGGCTTGTAGTAGGGAGGTGGGACAGTCCACTAGGGCTTCATTAGACCCAATGTGATGTTCTTGGTTTGCAAGATCACTGGCTCTACGAACAGTGTGGTCCTTCCCTTTTGCAGGGCAATGAAGTAAACCCGATTATTCAAACACTTGGAAATACTGAAGTAACCAAACCAGGCCAAAACCTGACTCAAAACGGCCACATGATGGCAGCAAAAAATAAGAACTGTTCCACCTTTATGCCAAATGGTTAACTGCCTTTACTCGTCTCTCTAAAGATGTTCCTTAAAAATGGTTGCACCAGCATGACTGGCAAAGAAAGCAGCTTAAATTGAAGAAATCCATTTACAGATAAACTTGTATATAAGAGCCTGGGAACATTTATTTATTTATTTATTTCATCGAGCACATAGCATACCATGGACAAAAAAATGGAAAACCAACCCATCACTCTAGGTGAAGGAAGAATAGGAAAAGCAACATCTCAGCCTAAACTTTGCAGAAATTTGGTGCAAACATTAAGATCATCGCTTGCAGCTACTGAACAATTCAAACTTGAGCATATCTTTTCAAGTAAACATTCAAATCACAGGGAAGGATTTAGCTGCCTGATTCTCATAGGTATGTAGGTGACCTTTATCTAAATGTCCTACCAAGCAATGAATATTGTGATACCTTTCATTAAGTAACTTAACTTGTTTTGAAGATCATGTTGCCATACAAGCTCTGTACAGTAAAAATCATTGTTCAGTGGCTTAGGATAAATTATTAGAATGCCTTACAATGCTTGTCCTCACAGTCCACAGACAGCTCTAAAGCATCTGACTTAATAAAACAGGGAAATTCCTTTAAATAATGAGAATCCATTTTGGTTGTTGAAAAACTTGGAGATGCCTGGCTGCAGCTTCAGTAGTCTCTTAAACCAGTTAAAAAAGTGGAATGTCCTCTTAGGAGAGCTGGGGTTTTATCACTATGCAGTGTGTATTATGTATTTACAGCTAGGTATCATTCCTAACAAAGGCCATAGGTAGATCCTTGCTCACTGTACATAACTGGCCACACCTGTGAGCTGCGTGGCTGAAGTGCTGTTCACTTTGAAAGGGAGCAGATGCTCAGTAAGGGCTAACATACTTTGAAATCCAAACTCTGGCTCTGCTTTCCCTCATGGGAATCTCAAACATAACTGACACATTCAATGTCTCTGCCTCTGTTCCTTCTTCTCCCACATTTTGAGTGTTTGATTTACAACCTCAACATTCCCTTAATTTACTATTTTATGTTCTATAATAATTCAACTATACACAAAGGTTAACAATTCTTATATATGATGATTTCTTCATGGAAATTTATTGTCTTTTTCATGCTCTTCCCATATAGGCAAGCAGTCGGGTTAGAGGCACTATAAAGCCTCAAGCTAATCAATTGCTGGAGCAATTGAAGTCTCTTATCAGCTGTGTGGACTTGGTGGAAGATGAAGATTGGAAAAAACATCCTTTCCTATTAATTGCCAAAGTCCAGCCATCTCCCATCACTCTTGTGTTGCCCCCTCAGTTCCATGCTCTACCTTAACTCAAGACAGGCAGGCAAAACGGGGAAATAAACCAAAAGGCAGAATACTAGGTGGTGAGTCAGCAGAGCACAAGGGAGAGAGAAATTCATGCTGTTACCAGTTCCTGTCACTGGTATTACAATAGGTACTGGCAGTGAGGAAGAATGGCAGGGAAAGTCTCTGAGCCCTGGGAAGAGACCCACTCTGTTTCTTTGCAGGGGGAGCAACATCTGACCATGTGTCTGGACACATGTGATCTGAGTGCCCTATACAGAGGTTCAGAGAATTTGGAGGATGTACAGATGAAGGTTTTCCAACCGTTGTGCCAATTTTGTTGCGCTCAACACACATCTTTCACACTGAAAGTGAAAGGCACAGTTCTGTTACAATGGCCAAAATGCCAAACGCCCACCTCAAAACGTGAGGGCAGTAGAGTTTATCAATAAAAGTCAGAGGATTATTGAAAATAATAAACAACATTACCCCCTAATCTTTTTTCTTATACATGGCTAACCTTGTATAAGCAGATGAAATCTAAACTGCATTATGGAACATATTACATGGTTCTTAGTTAAAGTTCATATTTGCAGTGTTTGTACTATACTGAATTAAAAAAATAATTTAAAAAAGAACCTATGCATCTATTCTTATGTTTAAGATAAAAAAAATACCCCCCTACATCTATATCTAAGATAAAAATAGCCCATCCCATAGTTGGCTGGTTTGAAAAGAAATCAGTCCATATAGTGAAAGGAAACCTTTTCCTACAATAGAGCTAAATTACATAATCACACAATCAGTTAATAGATAGAAGGAAAAATATTGGAATTGCATATTTTTTACTAGAATTGCCTTTGTTCTGACTGCCATTAAGACCAGCTGGATACTCTTTTGAACACAACTAGGAGGAACTTAAAACCAAAACCAAACTCAGTAATCAGTACGCCGTAAAAAACATTACCTACAATCAGCACAGATGCAGGGCTGGAAGATATTGTAAATTGGAGCCTATAACTTGAATAGATGAGCATTCATTTGAAGCTTCTATCTGACAGTATTTGGCTGCATTTTCTCACCATCACCACCATTGTGTCTGTAGGTCTCTGTCAGGTCCCTTAGCTACTGCCCCCAAATGGTCCCTGACTTCTCTCCAGACACCTTCCTCCCCCTCTCTCACTGCTTTAACTTCCAGGGAGCTCAGAGGAAAAGGTCTTCTGAGTCAGCAGCAATCAATCAGCCTTGTTTCTTCCTTTTTCCAAAGACCTAGAAGATTCTGCCAGCATTCTCTATAATAAGGTTTCTGCCTCTAACTGTTCAATGTTGAAAGTCTTACTGTCACCCTGAAGTTTTCATTTGGTGACTACTTTTCCCAGATTTGCAAGAAAAGTGCACCAAAATCTCACCCCCTAGAAATTCCCATCAACCTGTTATGAACATCAGACACCAATGAATTCTTAAATCCATCTGCAGATTTGTACAGCAGAAGTATTGAAATTCAACATAATAGCTAAAATGCATCTACATGATACATACATATTTTGTAGTATTTATAAAAACTTACCCTAAGTCTTCCACTGTAAAATAAAATTAACAGCCTATGAAAACTTTTATTTACAATGAAATAGAAAGAGTTATGAGTTTTCTTAATTTCAGTGTGTAACATTTTGAAACACCATTGAAAAAGGATATGAATGTACCAAAATTTTAATAGCTATTTTTCTAAGAGGATTGAAGGGAGTTAAAATGTACAGGGCAGAGGTGGCACTGAATCGGAAGATTGCCTTCCCTTTATTCAATACTATGAAAGTCTGAAAAAGAGAAAGAAAAGATATTTTATAAGTGTGTATTCACTGTAGATGCTAATTTTAAAACTGTTCCTAGTGACCAATCACCAAAATTGTAACTTTTTTAATAGCTAATACACAAAAAACATGACTCATTTTTGAAATAAAGCTTATTTCTGGTACTTACCTGATGTACCTGACATATGAAAATATAATTTTAAATACAGAATGTTCGATTCATTAATGTTTTTATACTACTTCTTCAGTAAAAAACCTCAGTATTGATGTATTTCTTTTTAAAAAAGGTGCAGAAATTATTGACTAAAATTATATTTATGTTTCACCATAGAAAACTCTTTCTTCCTTAATGTTTGAAATACCATAAGCAGGGAAACCTTACCTGTGGATGTTAATCATGTGTTAGTAAGAGAAATCCTTATAGAAACTGATTTAATAGGCTACCCATTTGTTCATATTTTTTATTCTAGTCTGTCTCGGTCTTTGAGCTAAGGAGAGAGGGAAATAGCAGTAACACATATAGATATGACTAGGTAGATCTCTGAGGACTGCGGACATCTGAATACACCTTACCAGAGGAAAGAGATACATACCAGATGACCTCCCCACACAATTGTGTTTTGCCGGTGGGAAACTTTCCCAGCACATACAGAACTTATTAAATTTAAAATTTAACAGCTAAAGAGCCTATCAAATTTAGAGACACTTAAAGGCATGTAAGCCTTACTTCAGAGAATTATAGAGGACTCTGTAGGCCGAAAGCTTGTCTATTTTTCTCAAATAAATCCATGAACCAAATATAAAGAGTGTGAGAGCAAACCCTACAAACATTGCTTTGCTTCCACTGTAGGCCATCATGACTGCAACAGCATTAACACTAGAGCACAGAAAATGTGGACTGTCAGGTTTCTTTGTGGCACTAAGGTGCTCTTCAACTGCAAGATCAATCAGAAAAGAATGAAAAACATTGCAGAAGGAAGGCTCAGTAACTGAGAAGAAAGCTGCACACAGTGGAAGGGATGATGCAAGGATTATAGCCTAAATTCAAACTGAATTAAAGGTATTGAAGAATCTGCCCAGGAAAGATGTCCAAAATTGCTTTTTTTGTTTTGTCAGGGTTGTATATTTCAAAAATAAGCTATGATAAATCCTCCTTGGTTTTCATTATGTTACTGATGAAGTGAGCTGTAAACTAGAATGCCAGTGGAAATGTGGGAAAGAGAATGTTGATCTCTTCTGGTGTCCTTGTCGAGCATCGCATCAAGACTGTAAGCAAGTGGACTACAAGGCTATTTCTGGGAAGCCTGGCAGACAGAGAAAATGTGCCAAGGAGGTTCAAGAAGGACAATTCTTCAGTGTGCTTAGATTTGGGAAGCTTAGTATGTATGGACCATGAAGTACAGATACAAATCTCTAGGAGCACACAGGAGGTGGAGAGAGACGTGGAGATGAGGGCTTCCACCAGTTTGTGACAGATACTAAGTACTGAAGGCAGAGGAGAAGCAGGGATTAGACCCTGAGGAAAAGCTGTCCCAGTCCCAACTCACTTGTTGGCTTCTTCCTGAAGCTGCCGCTCCATCATAGCTCTACATGGCACACCTTCCTGTACAGACCAAACCCCTTAAGAGTAAGGGGCATTAACAGTGAGACTTTATATTGTCTTGAGTATAAACTCAAGGAATGGTATATCAGATGTATTTGATCTCCTCACTTCTGCACACAAAAGGAGAAACTGCGTATGAAACTGAAGACAGTGGGATAAAGCCTGAGCTAATGTTTCCAAATTACACTTCCAGTTGTGGATTATAGATAACAACGACCTTCAAAGCATAACTGCAGATGACCTGACCTTAAATTAAGCTTTCATTTTAAATACTGAAGCAACCAAGCAGATGAATGATTTTTTGGCACAATGTTTTAAAGCCTCATACCCCAAGGGGAAGGTGAGTTTCCCCTCCCAGGTCTGACCCCAGCCCCCAGGACTCAGCTCAGAAGTCTCCAGCTCACACTCTTGGCTTTTGTAGCTATGAGGTAGTTGACAAAATACATTAAAACTCACACTCCCTACTAACTTTGTATCTGAGACTATACCACCTACGTTTAGTCAACCTACATTTTAAAAAAAAATCTTTGAACACAAGCATATTAAACATACGTCTCTTTTTTAATGTGCCTTATGGAAAATAACAGCATGCTGGCACAGCTCCAGTTTCAGTTGAAGCTGCTGCTATTTTAGCTGTTCTACTTTCTGCTGCCCTGCATAAGCAGATCCAACAAGACTTAAAATTCCTACCTCAGTTTTAATTTTTCACTCAAAGCATCTTTGTGACTGGAGCCTTCAGAATGACTTTGTTGGTCCTCTGACTTCTAGCCTTAAACATTAACTAAAATTGTATCTTTTCTCTGAAGAAGAATTTTCATAAAAAATTACAGATAACAGCTGATACCCAGTCCCTGTGTAAGCTTCCCTCCCTCATAAGCATGCCATATCTCACTCCAGTCTCAACCCAGATGCAAGCCAATGTGTAGGCAGTGTGGATGAACATGAAGTATTGTATCCAAAGCTGTCAGGATAAAGTAGACATACACTGAGAAAAGCTAAATAAATTCTAAACAAATTGTAAGATTAATGTTTGTATATGAAGGATTATGTATTCTTTTCAGGGCTTACATTTTATAAAGTGCCTTAATCATTTTATAAAGGCAGGAAACCTGCTCACACTCAATATATTCATACTTGACTATGAATAAATCCCTAAAGAGAAGTGCCTGATTTGCCACTTTTGCATCTGTAACCTGGATCTCAGCTCTGTAACTTCTGCTGTATTTGATATAAACCCAGAAACTGCATTCTTAGGAGGGCAAAGAAGGAGGTGGAGTATTTTGAGAAGATGCAGCTAAGAGGGAAGAATACCCCACACTGAACAAAGATATGGTCTCAGAGAACCCCTTGGGACAAAGAGTTCCCAAAACCTTATTTCTTCTCTCCGTTCTCCCAGTTAGTTTTAAATGTAGTTTCTGGAAGGCTACATTTAGCAGGCTGACTGCTACGGCATTGCATTTCCACTTCCTACAGTTAAATAAACACCATCTAAAACCTCATAGGACCTTCTGAAAGGCAAGAGGTGACATGTTGTTGAGCTGGGTCCTTAGCTTCTCGGGAAGAGCCCTAGAGGCAGCTGGAACAAGAGACTCATGGCATATTTGAAATTGGCATTTCTTGTGTTTGTGGTTATCTTTTGAAACCATGTTTTCTAGCAAGACCTTAATTTTTTGCTTTGCTACAACTTTTCACTTAAAAACTCTTTTACTTAAAACTATCAAAAATATCTAAAATCTCTAGTGCATTCACCTTTTCTGATGTAATGAAGTTAAGTAAAGAAATTTTACAGAATCTTTTTATTTCTGCAACTCAAGACAAGTCTAGGAATTCCAGGAGCTAGTGGTTTGATCAGATTAGGGACTGATATTACCAAATGCCAGGACAAAAGGAGGCATCTTTTCTGACAGACATCGTTCAACATCCTTCCGGCAAGAGGCAGGGCATGGAGTGGCAATAAGCAATGCTGTATTGATATTATAGCAGGAGGAAAGTGAAGTTAGACTCATTTAGTTCCACCTATTCTTTCCTTCCTCTTTAAAGTAGCAGCCTAGGTTCAAGAGAAAATAGCCAGCCCTTAATGTATGAAACCAAGTGGACCAGATTTTGATGTGTGCCTGCAGGTCAGGGTCTTAGGGGGTTCCAGCTGATCCTTTCTCTATAGACAGTGATGTGAACCTCCTTGATCCTTTGTGACAGCAGCTTGAGCATGAACAGGCAGTCACTATTATACCAGGAGCACACAGATTTGCACTTACACAGAAGTGCAATGCAAAAAATGGGTAAAGTCTGAGTTCATTTTTACTCAGTTTTTGATTAAAAAAAAAAGCATTGCAACCATTTAGGATGCTAAACTTCACAGTTCTGAAGACCAGCATTATTGACCACCACAGTCAGTAGCCTTTTATGACAATAAAATCATAAGAACATAAGAACAGGTATTGCATTATATTATATTATTATATTATATTATAAAGTAATTAT